ATTACTTAATTTGCTTCTTACCTTCTTTCCTTATGAGGACTACAGACAAATATTATGTCCATATTACAGATAAGGCAACGAAGTTCTCCAAAGAGAAAGTGACTTGGCTAGAATCACAAAGCTAGTAAAAAACTCATTTACTCTTTGCCATTAACATACGAAGTACTTAATCAAGTCTGTACTCCGAAACTATGGAAGAATTAGTCAGAATTAAACACAGTAAACATCTTTAAGCAAAAGTTATGTCTTGGTCTATAACCAAAGGGCTTCTACAAAATCAGTTAAATGCCATGTTTTCTCATTCTATTAATATTTTCTAACTGTTTCTGCACTTTCATTTATCATGAGCTCCTTGAGGACAGTTATTAGGTGATATTTATCTCTGTCTTCCCGACACTGTATTTCTGCCACTCAGGCAGAAAGGGCTCAATAAATACTTATTGAATTGAATAAACATTTGTAATTCAGATGAAGGAAAAATGCCTAGTGCCTAAGCACTGTTTATTTCTTCTTATCAATAAATCTCAGCATTGCTTTCTCCTTTCTCTGTGTTCTATTTCCTGTAAAAACCTAATTGTGACTAAACAGGGAAATTTCCTTTACTACTGGCTATGAACCTTGTTTTTTTTTTTTTAATTCAAAGCTGGCAAATACACTCGGTAAACACTGATAATATTAATATATTTCTCTTAGAAATGTGAGAAATATTCAGAGCAAGGAGTTAACATATTCAGAGGTCAAAGAATAGAACTCTTGATTCCAGTAAATAGGTATTTATTTGGGGGAGTAAAGAAGAGACTAGAAGAATTAGAGAGGGGAAAAGGAAAAACAGAAAGAAATAGCATGCAGGTAATGAGAAAATAGACTTCTTTACGAAGCTGTGAGACCCAGACTAGGAATAAAGGATAGGCAGTGCCATTATTTAGTGATATAATTATAATAAGGAGCATTAAAAAAGACTTGTGTAGATGGCAATATGAATTTACTTTGCGGTGAAGGTGTCATTTTCAAAAGGAAACGAAAGTGTTCAATTTTGCTTTCCCTGTTTTTGATGAATTAAGAAAGGT